TATGTAAGTATGGACGTCGAACGGCAAATTCAGAACTGGCGCTGTGATTAACATTTGTGATAGCGATAAAATCAGAGGCTTGACAATTTGGTCAATTAGGTGCTAGGAAACTTTTTGAGAATGGAGGAGTAAAAAATGATGACTGAATAGTTGTCCTGGCAAGGTGATGGCGCTGATAAAGAGTGGATACAATCGTTAAATCTAGGCAAATGAGAGGCTATGAAAAAAGGGTCATCATAAGTCTCCTGCTAAGTTGAAGCGTCGCGTGCAAACGTCCATAATCCTGTCGCCATGACGCAAACCGAGAGAAACATCCTTTTACTTCAACCCGGCTATTTAAAACCTGAAGATGAATTAAGTCAGTCTGGGTTATTCAACCACAAATAGTTGAGCTCTTCCCCAAACCAAATGAATAGGCCTCATGATTGTTGAGCATACTTCCATTTCGAGTGAAAGTGTTGGGTGAAGAGATTCGAATGTCGGTTCCACCAGAAGACGACGGCCGATTCCTCTTGACCAACTGTCGATTGGCTTTACTGGAGCATTTATGCTGACGCTGTTTACGAGGCAATCTCCCTCGATTCTGGTAAAAAGGTGCTAAGTTTTCGTCCGTCATATGACGAACAGCATCAGAGCAAAGTATCATCATCACAACAAAATTCAAGTTCTGTGAAATTGAATGGGAACGTCAGCTCAACTCATATCATTGTGGGAAAATTCTACTACCAGTCCCTTAATGTGAAAATTCAATGGAAAAGTCAGCTAAACTCATATCATTGTGGGACAATTCTACTACCAGTCCTTCATCAACTTAGACGAAATAGGGTGAATACATCTCATTACACTGATTTACTGGTAGTCTCGAAACCCTACTCTTATATGAATATAAATAACGTTGTCGATTGCTATAGTAAGCATACGTTTGCTTCATCGGCACTCCCACCAAAGAATATGATATGACAAGATGTCTGGCCCTCGTTGAAATTCACTTATGCCCTGTGACTCAAAGGTACTCCTGGCAGTGTAACCGAGTGGTTAACCTGTCAAGCTTCCATCCTGCACTGTTGCGGTTCGAATCCCGCTGAGGGTGTTGATAAGACCAGTTGATGCGAGGTCGAAACTGCAGTCCACTGGTGCCTGGATGAGAACAACTTTTGGGAAAACAAGACAATTTTT